TATCATAATGATGTTCCTGTTCTATATAGGTGAAGTCCAGCCTTACTAAGATATGAATTTCCAAGCGTGAAGCAAAATAAAAATGATATCCTTTTATGATGTTCCTGTTCTATATAGGTGAAGTCCAGCCTTACTAAGATATGAATTTCCAAGCGTGAAGCAAAATAAAAATGATATCCTTTCAGTACAGTGATAATATGTTTGGAAGCAAATTCTATCTCAAAGCACTACATTATTGTTGATGGGAATTTTTTTTGGCTGTATTAAAGTTGTCTAGTTGTGGATTCGTTTCCTATCTCCCATTTTTTCATATTTTGTATCTTGAAATGCTATGCCATTTATTGTAGTATTTGTCCCCTCCCTCCTTCAGCAGCTCTAGGTTCAAGCCTGAGTGTGATGATATATCAGAGCTTGTTTGTTTCAATTCTAAATCTAAGATATGTGTGCATATTTTGTTGTTTAATGTTCTCACTCTAGCAGGTTTTTTTGGGATCTGTTTGGGCACTTAACTTGATTATTTAGTGTATATTTTACCCATCCACATAGTTACATAAGTAATAATAGCATTAGCGTGAGCCTAGAGTGGTTCAGGGGTCATATATTTTATCGCTTCTGAAGGTTTATGTCATTGTACTGATGGAGATACAAATGACATTCAAATTCTATTTAATTTGTCTGTTTCCAATTCAGTCCTTTCGACTCATGATTTTATAGTGTCTTCCTTACATTTTGAAACAATTTTTCCTTGATCATTTAGTTTTATTCCTTTCATGGGTTGGTTCCATCTTAGTTTGGCTGGTTCTAATTTCTGGTTTGGGTTTGACCTTCTATAGTTTAAAATGTTGGCATTTGTTTGAAATCTAATTGCCAGCATCTGAGAAACATTTTTTCCTTGTATCTTGAATGTCAGTTGTGTGAAATAATTGAGTGTCTCTTCGGAACAACAGGTGTGTTAGGTTTGCAACAGAGATTGCAGGGGTTCAGGATCTTGGCATGTTAGGTCGTGGCAGTGGAGAGGAGATTGGAACATATGTTGAAAAGCTCATGACAAGTGAACTTTCTGGTAATGTGATAGATATCTGTCCTGTTGGAGCTCTTACCTCAAAACCTTTTGCATTTAAAGCTCGAAATTGGGAGTTAAAGGGTACAGAAACCATTGATGTTACGGATGCTGTTGGATCTAATATTCGAATTGATAGCAGAGGACCTGAAGTCATGCGAATCGTCCCTCGTCTAAATGAGGTTAGATTCTGGTAAAAGATACTGTGGATGTTCATTGCAGTGAGTTGTGTCTGTAAGATCTTTTTTGCTCTCAAGGTTGTAGGCTTTTTCACTGCTGCATGATGCTATTGCTGCTTTTAATGGTTTAAGCAAGATGACTTCTCAGTTCTCACTATTTGATGACTACTTGAACCTGACAAAGGAAGTTTTTGTCAACCCACTTAAACTCAATTGTGACCACACTTGCCATTACTTCACAGTTTGTACAAGAAATTTGTCTAAGGAGTGCTCTTACCTATTGCAAGGAGGCTGTGTCAACGAGAAAAGTATTGCATGTGTTGTTTAGATAATATTTGCCAATATGATATATAAATAAAGGAAATGCTAACCTCCGCACTAGTAAGTTATATGAAGGTTAGAAACCTCTGCATAGGTTATTTTGACCAAAGTGCCCCTGTTGTTTCAAAGACTCAAAAAGTATCGGACTTAGGTCATTTCTTTCAATACCTTGTATATAATTGTGTTGTGAGAAAAACTACTCAATCCTCAACGTGGTTTAGCTTTCTCTTGTTTAGAGTTGCTTTTTTCATCACACTGAAGCCTGTAGAAGGTCTGTAAACAAATTTTCTCTTCTAATTGATGTTCTTTCGAAGACGTGTAGGTTTGGGCATTTAGATATAGGCATTGTTTTGTTGCTCTATGACAATCTTTTAATTAAACAGTATCATGAGCAGATCTCTGTTCTTGAGAATTAAGCTATTTTTTTTTTTATTGGATGATTGAACAAGCCGAGGATGTTTTAAGTGAACCTAACCCGTTAACTGTCTTGATATTATTAGGATGCCTAATTCATTGGAGTGTAATTGGTCACGGTCACTAATCATGTGTTATTCAAGGACTGAATTGCTATAAAATATGCGTGATCATGTACCTGCTATGGTTCTCACATTTTGTAATTTTGAGCAACTAGTGAGCAGCCTCAAGAATGGATAGTCTTTTGTCGTAAAGTTCCTGGGTTGAGATTATTAACATATGGTTCAGGCAAATTGTTAATATTTGTTGTGATCTGGGAAACCGTAGAGCTTTTTTGAACGACAGAACTTCTGCTTTTTATTTTTCATGGGGGAGGTGGGGATTTTCGTCTGTCCATGGTTTGTGTTTAAGGTTGTACTGCTTATCAATGCAGGACATAAATGAAGAATGGATTTCAGACAAGACTCGCTTTTGCTATGATGGTTTGAAGAGGCAAAGGCTAAATGATCCCATGATTCGTGGTCCTGATGGGCGTTTTAAGACTGTCAGCTGGCGTGATGCCCTTGCTGTGGTTGCAGAAATTGCCCACCAAATTAAACCAGAAGAAATTGTTGGAATAGCAGGCCGACTATCCGATGCTGAATCAATGATGGCACTAAAAGATCTCATCAACAGGATGGGATCAGATAATGTGTGGTGTGAAGGAATTGGCGTACATACTAATGCTGATTCGCGATCAGGGTATGTTATGAATACTGGCATTGCTGGTCTCGAGAAAGCAGATGTTTTCCTGTTGGTTGGTACCCAGGTATATATCTGTCCATTAAATGTAATTTTTAGTCTCCCTTGATATTCAAATACTTCCTATAATTGGAATGCCTTTCCCTTTCACCTAATTGCAGGATAGGTTTTTTTCCTCCTACTTTCTTAACTTTTTTTTTTTTCCTTCACTTTAGTCACTAGAGTTGGTAGAGGTTGCATGAAAAGGAAAAAAGGTTAAAATATTTTTTGAGAAAAACTGTTCACATAAATTTTTTATTGGCTTGGATTCATCTACTGGTTTATACTGTGTTGGAGCTGGGCGGTTGGATTTTGTTGCTTCTGTTGTCAATTAGGTTTGCTTATCTTATATGGATTCACTGTTGAATTTGTAGCCACGAGTAGAAGCTGCTATGGTTAATGCTAGAATTCGAAAGACTGTCAAAGCAACACAAGCCAAGGTTGGGTACATTGGTCCTCCCACTGATTTTAATTATGATCACAAACATCTTGGTACTGGACCTCAAACACTCATTGAGATTGCTGAGGGTCGTCACCCATTTTCCAAGACAATCTCAAATGCCAAAAACCCTTGTATCATTGTTGGTGGTGGGATTCTTGAGAGGAAGGACAAGAATGCAGTTTTCGCAGCTGTTGAAACCATTGCTAAAATTGGAAATGTTGTCAGCCCTGATTGGAATGGACTTAATGTGTTGCTTCTCCATGCTGCCCAGGCTGCTGCACTTGACCTTGGACTTGTTCCTCGATCTGAAAAAACCCTTGAGTCCGCAAAATTTGTCTACCTGATGGGTGCCGATGATGTGAACTTGGAGCATATTCCAAATGATGCTTTTGTTGTATATCAAGGTCATCATGGGGACAAGGGTGTCTATCGTGCTGATGTCATTTTGCCTGCTTCAGCATTCAGTGAGAAGGAGGGTACATATGAAAACACTGAAGGATGCGTTCAACAAACGTTGCCTGCAGTTCCAACAGTTGGTGATGCCAGGGATGATTGGAAGATAATCCGTGCCCTGTCTGAGGTGGCTGGACTGCGGTTGCCCTATGATACAATCAGCGCCATTCGTGCCCGAATTAAAACAGTTGCACCAAATCTTGTGCACATGGATGAGAGAGAACAGGCTGTATTTTCATCTTTGCCTAAGCCCGAAGTCACTGAGAAGATCAGCACGACACCATTCGGGATTGCAGTTGAGAATTTCTATATGACCGATTCAATAACCCGGGCATCAAAGATAATGGCGCAATGCAGTGCTATGCTGTTGAAGAAGTGAAGTTTAATTTTTGTTTTTGTCCAAAGTTAATGCTTATTCATGTTTTTTCGTTTCCCGGTCATTTAAGCCACTGGTTGGCCAAAGCTTCTCGGATGTTGGAAGTACCTAATAAAATTAATTTAGGCTTTTGCCCTTGTATGCATTGTAAGAGCACCACTAGGTAAAACTCTCGTGTACATTTGGATTTTTGTCCAACTGATTGTGAAAGCTTTAGAACAACACTCAGAAAGGGCTAGGAGCAGGGGTGGGGTTAGGATTTAAGAATAAGGAGGGGCTAATATTAATATATATATATATATACACTATAAATTTTTTATAAATTTTAGAAGAATCAGAAGTATGTAATACTTATACAATATAAAAAAAAATTAAAAAATTGAGGGGTTACAGCCTTTATTGGTCCCCCCGTTCTGCCACTGGTTAGGAACAATCTTGATCTTTTATTTCAATCTTATTTAATCTTGACTGTTCATTTAAATTAAATTTTTAAATATTTGATATTATATTTATTAATATAAAAATTTTAAAATTTTAATATATTTGTTCATTATTAATTTAGTTAGTACAAATTTAATTTAACAATCCAATTTAAAATTAAAAAATTTATAATTTTATAATTTCACTATATAGATAGATTCTGTATAATTTAAATATAATTTAAATACATAATTTATATTAAAAAATTTATAAATTTTATAAATTAATCATTTAAATGTATTCCAAATAGTTTAGATTTAATATTAAAAATATTTTTTTTACTTTAATAAAGATAATGTTAAAAATATTTAAAAATTACTTTAAATGAACGTTAGAAATTAAATAAGACTGAAATAGAGTGTCAGAATTACTCCTACCCGGACATTCGGTGCTGAATGCTGAACTGTGCCATATGTAATAGACTATAATGGAAGTTGGATACCATTTTAGAGTGAGGCGGTAGACTTCGCCGGGTGATTGGAAGCGAATGAATGGTAAAGCGCTGAAAGGATATGTTGTGAACTTGGACCAACGTATCCATGGAATTACAAGGATTCTGAAAAAATTTTCACCAATCAAATGAGTGAGGGAATCTTGTTTGTGAACACAATCCTCGTCAAGATGCTAAACTGAAAAGGTAGCAAATGTGTGCGAAGGAAGGGGAAGATTCTCAGACTAGGATAGATACTCCTACACCCTTGACCGACCTTAAGAGATTTTTTTTTTTTTTTAATTTTTGTCACAGCCATACATACAAAATCTTGGCAGTAACATGGAATAGAATACAATCCACAACTGATTGAGTAACAAGGAGTTACTTCTGCACCTCTGAAAATGAGGAGATACCAGTTTGACGATACGAGCTTTCCCAATTCCTTCCATCAATACTCCTGATTTCAACACTCTTGAGCGTGCCAGGGTCAACACACCTGAATGAAACAGCAACCCCATCTGGGTTTGAGCGTGGGTAATAGAATGAGGTTATACCACAGACCTTGCAGAATGTATGCTTTGCAGTGTGAGTGCCAAAGGTGTAAGTTGTGAGGAACTTCTCTGAATCACCCAAAAGCTCAAATCTTTCAGCCGGCATGATGAAGTGCGTATTGGCTCTCATATAGCAGTCAGAACAATTACAATCCCATGCCACAACACTAGAAGAAGCTACAGCTTTCCATCTCACACGCTTGCAATGGCACCCTCCAGTGTGCACCACTGTCTCTGAATCAGAATCCATACTGGCTTTCTGAACTTTTGAGATCAGAAAAGCAATTTCGGCTCTAAAAGATCTATATGCTGCCAGCAACCTGCTAGCCATGATTTATCAGGCCTCAAAAACAAAATATGCTTGCACTATGAACAAGATAGTATACCATCATTTTCATCCTAGCACATGGGACGTGACAAAGCACCAAAATTTTGTTTGAAATGCTTATATGTAAGATATCTAGTGTCATCAATTACACCAGAAGGCATGAGATGGTACCACCCTAGAAGTTATTTCATTCTACTGAAAAACTATGGAGGTCTCGTATGTGTATATTTTTCTTTACTTTTATAAAATATCAAATGACCAATTAAAGATATAACAACTTTTGATTATCATAGTAAACAGATGAACGCGTCTAGACTCTTGTGCCCTAGATAAGAGGAAAAGCAAAATAACATCATATCAGATGAATTACGACTTATGGCTATAGCGACTAAATAAATTCAGAGTTCGGCGACAAAAGGATTCTGCTCAACGAAAATCTTGAAGGCTATTGAACAAAATGGACAGGGTTAAACAGAAATGAAAGTGTAATATTTCCAGCAAAATAGAGTTATCACGATACTTGCAGCTGCACGGGTGATGATGGGTTGTTTGTAACTCGAAAGCGGTAAGCTCGTCAACATGTAAGATGAATCAAGACCTGTGGATTTTATCATTGAAGATCTAAACTACGATTGTATCAAATATGATAAAATTAATAGAGGTTTGGTGACCTTGCTATACTAAGAACTTACTGTAAATATAATAATGGCCCTTCTCAGTTCTCAATTGAAGACGGAGAAGCAAGGCAGAAATGTTGCCCCCAGGTGTTCGCTTTCCGTGTCGGTACCCTGAAAGCTTTTATCTTCATAATTTCGCTTGACAAAGCCTTCTTCACTTTGTCTTCCTAAGAATTTTTTTTATTGTTAATATCGAATGAATATCTGAAGTTCCTGAATAAAACACAAACAGCAATAATCAATATATATATATATATATATGCAACTAATATGTGTCATGTTTCCCTGTTAATATTCCAGTGATCCAGCGGACAGATGTTTTCGAAGTAGCACTTTTTCAATCTGAAATGATTTCTTTAGTTGACAATGAAGAATTGCGATAGAATTATGTGATTTGTTTGTGTTCGACCAAATTCTGCTTTCTCTAGTGTTCTATTATTAGGCGTTACCTTATAACGGGCCAGGCCCAAAGCTGATGCAGAGGACCTCATATTTAAGATAATGGATGTGAAAACGACAACGTCGGAAACATCTACTTGGGATTAAATTTGATGTAGTTTATGTTTCAAACATAGTTAAACGAATCTCTAAGAATTCTTATAAAAATTAAATAAATCCACAAGACTATGAAACCAAACAAAACAAGTGCAACAAACCATTCTTTTTTAGAGGGCCTAGTTGTGTGGAAATGCTGCTTCTTCTTCTTTTGTTTCAGTTTGATTAACATTGTTGTGATGTGATAAAAATTTTGAGTTAAAATGCATGTTTGCTCTTATACTTTTTAACGGCATAATGCAATGCTTTGCTATTGAAGGAGTGAAGTTTAGATTTTGTTTTTGTCCAAAGGAAATGCTCATTGTTTTTCATTTCCTGGTCATGTAAGCCACTGGTTGGCCAAAGCTTTCTAGGATGTGGGAAGTACCTAATAAAATTAATTTTAGGCCTTTGTCCTTCCATGCAATATAAGAGCACCCCATTGCAAAACTCGTGCACACTTGGGTTTTTGTCCAACGGATTGTGAACGCTTAGTACAACACTCTCCTATAGGCATTTTCCCCCATTAAATGAGGTGGGCGGTGCTAATTGTAATAGTGTAATGGAAGTCGCGTACCATTTTAGAGCCGCACTCAAATTGTGATACAGCAGACCTTGCCGGGTGATTGGAAGCGAATGAATGGCAAGGGCTCAAATGTATATTGTGAACTTGGGCCAGGGTGTTCAAGAGGTTGCATGTCTTGTAATTCAACCAACAAAAGTTAGTCCAATTATTAAAAATTTGCCTTATATCACTTCTGTTAAAAAAAATGTAAAATATTTTTTTAAGAATTGAATTTTTCAAAATGTTAGGCATTTTTACCATTTTAAGGTATAATTATTACCATTTTATAAATAATCACTTTATATTTATCTTAGAGTCAAACACTCTATTATATAGAGGTAAATATAAAAACATAATATTAGTTTAAAGACATAATTATTTTATTGGGAAGGTAAAATTCAATTAAAAATGTATTACATTTTTTTAATGAAAGAAATTATTCACAAGATTGTGAGATTAAATCCTACTATTGATATGAGAACATTATTGATGGACAATCTGTAAGTACCTCGCTTTTTGAGCCTAAAAGTATGCTCTAACTTTGATGAGTTCTTAAAAGCCAATTTACTTTAACTTTCTTGTATAAAAAAAAAAAAATTAACAGTGAAAGAGACGAGTTCCAACCATTCATTGAATTATAAGGATTCTGCAAAGAGAGTTTACCAATCAAACGGGTGAGGGAATCTTGTTTGTGAACACAATCCTTGTCAAGATGCTAAACTGAAAAGGTAACAAATGTGTGCGAAGGAAGGGGAAGATTCTCAGACCAGGATAGATACCCCTACACCCTTGACCGACCTTAAGCGATCCTTTTATTTTTGTTACAACCATGCATACAAAATCTTGGCAGCAACAGGGAATAGAATACAATCCACAACTGATTGAGTAACAAGGAGTTACTTCTGCACCTCTGAAAATGAGGAGATACCAGTTTGACGATACGAGCTTTCCCAATTCCTTCCATCAATACTCCTGATTTCAACACTCTTGAGCGTGCCAGGGTCAACACACCTGAATGAAACAGCAACCCCATCTGGGTTTGAGCGTGGGTAATAGAATGAGGTTATACCACAGACCTTGCAGAATGTATGCTTTGCAGTGTGAGTGCCAAAGGTGTAAGTTGTGAGGAACTTCTCTGAATCACCCAAAAGCTCAAATCTTTCAGCCGGCATGATGAAGTGCGTATTGGCTCTCATATAGCAGTCAGAACAATTACAATCCCATGCCACAACACTAGAAGAAGCTACTGCTTTCCATCTCACACGCTTGCAATGGCACCCTCCAGTGTGCACCACTGTCTCTGAATCAGAATCCATATTCGCTTTCTAAACTTTTTGAGATCAGAAATGCACTTTTGGCTCTTGCAGATCTATATGCTGCAACAACCTGTTAGCCATAATTTATCAGGCCTCAAAAACAAAATATGCTTGAACTATGAACACTATAGTACACCATCATCTTTATCCCAGTACAATGGACGTGACAACGCACCAAAATTTTCTTTGAAATGCTTATATCTAAGATATTTACTGTCATCAATCATACCAGAAGGCATGAGACGATACCACCCTAGAAGTTATTTCATTCTACGTAAAAACAATGGAGATCTGTGCGTACTTTTCTGTACTTTTATAAAATATCAAATGAACAATTAAAGATATAACAACTTCTGATTATCATAGTAAACAGATGAAAGTGTCTAGACTCTTGTGCCCTGGATAAGATGAAAAGCAAAATAACAGCATATCAGGTGGGCTTATGGCTCTAGTGTTTAGATAAATTCAGAGCTCTGCGACAAAAAGATTACGCTCAACGAAAATCTTGAAGGCTATTGAACCCAATAGACAGGGTTAAACGGAACTGAAAATCATGTATTTCCAGCAAAATAGAGCTAACACAGTACTTGCAATCTGCAGGGGTGATGACGGGTTTTTTGTGACCCGTAAGCGGCAAGCTCATCAACATGTAAGATGAATCAAGACCTGTGGACATTATCATTGAAGATCTAAACTACGATTGCGTCCAATGTGATAAAATTAATACAGGTTTGGTGACCTCGCTATACTAAGAACTTACTGTAAATATGATAAGGGCCCTTCTCAGTTCTCAATTGAAGACGGAGAAGCAAGGCTGAAATGTTGCCCCCCAGATGTTCGCTTGCTGCGTCGCTACCCTAAAAGTTTTTATCTTCATAATTTCGCTTGGCAAAGCCTTCTTCGCTTTGTCTTCCTAAGCATTTTTTTTATTATTAATATCTAATGAATATCTGAAGTTCCTGAATAAAACACAAACATCAATAAATCAATATCTATATATATTTATATATAACGTGCATGTGTCATGTTTTCCTGTTAATATTCCAGTGATCCAGTCGAAAGATGATTTCACACTTGCACTTTTTCAATCTCAGATGATTTCTTGATTGACAACAAAGAATTGTGATAGAGCTATGCGATTGATTGTGTTGACAAAATTGTGCTTTCTCTACTGTTCTATTATAGGCGCTACCTTTGTCCTTATCAGGACCAGGCTCAATACATTATGTAGGGGCCCTTTGAATTTACACAACGGAAGTGAAAAAGATTAGGTTAGAAACACCTAGTTGGGATCAAAAAATTGATGAAGTTTATGTTTCAAATTCAATTAATCAAATCTCTAAGAATTCTTAATAAAAATTAAATCAATCCACAACACTATGAAACCAAACGGAATAAGTCCAACAAACTCTAAGAATACTTTTTTTTTTTGGTCTATGTTTCAGTTTGACCATTATTGTTGCGATGTAATAAAGTCATCAATAATTAGGCAGCAGCCAAAAAATTATTTGAACCATAGCATAGACATGAAATTAAAATGTCAAGTAGCTTATACTTTATAATATGTAACGGGATCAGATTCCGAATATACCAAGCTACCAAGTTATCATTTTTTTACCTTAAAAACAAAGAAAGAAAGAAAAGACCAGTACATAGCATCTTGCATGGACTTAGGCAATTTCATTTCATAATTATTAATAAATTGGACTAAAACCTTAACATTATTGTCACACATGGAACATGGGAGTGAAGGAAACTAATTCCCTCAAACAGTTGATACTTGATATCCAGAAACTAGACATGACTAGAACATAAAGCTGATCCTAATAAAACACACTGAGTAAATCAAAGAAACACAGTTTGTTTTCCCTGCTTCATCTCATGGTTTCCACAGAATGGTTGTCTCAGCGATCATTGACGTCACCACATATGGGTCCATGTTGGAAGCTGGCCTCCTATCCTCAAAATACCCCTTCCCTTCTTTCTCTGTGTCCCTTCCAACTCTTATTGAAGCACCACGATTTGCAACACCCTGCCCAGAAAATTCCCAGGTTACACACTGATCTCAACCATAAAAAAGGGATGACAACATCTCTCGTTACCATTACAATATTTGTAAAGTGGTTAAAAAGCAGTACGATGATGACAAGGTCATATGTTGTTGCTTACCCATTTGAAGGTGTTAATGTCTGCAGTCTCATGTCTTCCTGTCAAACGACGCTCGTTTCCTTCTCCATAGGCTGAGATGTGCTCCATGTGCCTCTTCCCCAGCTTCTCAATTGCTTTCTTGATCACTTCATAGCCTCCTTCTTTCCTCATGGACTTGGTGCTGCAAATGTTATGTGATGCACTTGTCAACCATCAAAACTAAAGAAGAAAAGTGATTCTCTTTATATCAGTAACAAGATTCACCTGTAGTTTGTGTGAGCCCCAGCTCCATTCCAATCACCCTGGTGTTGTAAGAACCCAAATCACAAAGACACGAATTATCAATATCAAATCAAAGTTTAATAACAAGTACATGAACAGAGCATAAGTGTAAGGGAATGTTGTTGAACCTTAATTGGCTTAGGGTCAAAGGAAACAAGCACCCCCGCAATCTCAGTGATCCTCTGTAGAAAACAAACAGATATGTTAGTTTCTGCATTTAATGCACAAGACATTGAACCTTTATTCAAAAAACCAGAAATTGATGGTGAGGGTAGTCATGCATTACCTCCAAAATGTAACGAGCAACCCACAACTCGTCACCAGCAGAGATACCAACTGAAGGACCTACTTGGAATTCCCACTACATTACACGAAAAAATGAACTGAATTAACAATGGGGAAAAAAGCAAGCTTATGACTGAGTAACTCAAAGTTGGAAGTTTGAAAATTACCTGGCCAGGCATCACTTCACCGTTGATTCCACTGATGTTGATGCCAGCATAAAGGCAAGCTTTGTAATGTGAGTCAACAATATCGCGCCCAAAAGCCTTGTCAGCACCAGTACCACAATAGTATGGTCCCTGATGGAAATAAAAGACAATAATCTAAATACTTCAATCCCAAAATATTATCAGCTAAAAATAATAAAGGGTAAGTTAATTTGTGTGAGTTAAGCGAGAAAGGAAGGAAATTAGCAGGGATAAAAATCTCACCTGAGGTCCAGGATAGCCACCGAGAGGCCAGCCAAGAGGCCATTGGATATCTTTCTGGAGCAAGGTGTATTCCTGCTCAATTCCATACCTATTCAAAGAAAAACATTAAGTCAATGAAGAAGAAAGGTTAATGAAAATGTCTCTTCGGATAAAGAGACAAGCAACTAATAATACCAAGGTTCTTCAGCAGCAACTTTGGGATCGCTGAATATTTTTGCAGCTGCATATCTTTTGTTTGTGGGAATTGGATCTCCAGCAGGAGCGTAAGCATCACACATGACCTAATGCCAATTATGATTGAAAAGGTTAAATTGAGAACTACACCATGAAAACAGTTTCTAAGAGTAAAAAATTTGCCCGAGTAAAATTCAAAAAGGAAGATAGACAGAAAACCCACCAAAATATTTTTACCCCTTCTGAATGGATCTCTAAAAATTGCTTGTGGGCTGTTACCAAAATTTGTTCCAAAAACATTACTGATGTACTGTCTCAAATAAAACAAGAGAAGAAATATCTCCAGTTGGGGGAGGGGAGGCTTACTATAAGATCACTTCACTATCTTCTCCAGGAGCTTGGCCTGTGCTGGAGCCATCGTAATTCCATTTGGGCAACTTTGAAGGGTCATTGACTGGCCCTGAGAGGGTCTGTATTTCATATTTTCATAAGTATACAGCCAAACAAAACAACTTAAATTTTTTTTTTTTTTGTTGAGTGGACTAAATGGATAGGTAAATTACCCTTGCTTTGCTCCGCATGTCCATGCCTGATCCGCCGATCCTATCATATTATCAGACAATATAAAAAAGAGGGAAGGAAAAAAAAAGAAAAAACAAAGAGTTTGGTGAACATAAAGTTAGATGGGGATCAGGGCAAGGATTTAACGCCATTTTGACATCAGTATTTAGTACACGCATGAGTTGAGTTACTCCAATGAACAAAAGAGCAAACAGTTAACAAGCATCATGTTAAAGGTCATTCCTTTTTACCAATTGTGACGGATTAAAAAGTCTTCATCTCGAAGTATTACCAAAACCGAGCATAACTTCCAAATAAAGAGTCAAACTAGTGAGAACTTTGTTCCATACGTTCCGAAATGACAGAACGAAACAACATAACAAGAAGCAGGGGAAATCTTAAATAAAAATGTTTTCTTATTATATTTAATCTTTGTGCTTCTCATTTCTCAAATAATAAAGACAAAAACCTGATCCGAAGAAAATTTATAATCCATAAAAGCACAATGGCAGAAAGGTGTATGCAACCATAAAACTGACAAAGACGAGCATCGTAGAGAATGAATGATCAAGCAAGAAAGGAATCAGGAACCAAAAGAAAACCGAACCCACTGAAAGAACACTGATAAAGAAAATATGTAGACACGTTAATTAATGCGCAGACGAACAGAAAGAGATATGCTGTGCTTGCTTGGACGTGGAGAAAACAGAGTATGCGAATGTGAGAGAAAATAGGCTAACCATATGTACTCTGCGATGACCTTCTCAGTGGTGTCGGAGAGATGGAGGTTGATCAAATCCGAGAGCTGCGACATTTCCAAAACAAAAATACTCAAGCTTGAAGCAGAGAGATTTTTCGCCGGACGATACGTGAGCAGAGGTGGGCTGCTGCTGCGTAGGTTTTATAGTGCGGAAGTTAAATTGAACATTTCTTATGAAATTAAGAAATAAAGCATGAACTTCTTTTATGGCCGAATCTAAAGAATTAAATTAAATTAATTAATTAGTACTGAAAAGGGGTGAGAGTTCGCACCTATACTGTTTATAATTTACAAATTATGTAAATTTTTATAAATTATATGCATATTAATAAATAATATTATTGAAATATATGTGGGTAACATTATATAGAAATATAAAAAATAAGCTAGGTTTGTAAATAATTTGTTTTATTAAAAATTGTACATTTTATACTAATATTTTGGTAATTTGATAATTGAAATATAGATGACCAATAATAGGCCAAGCCTAAGCCATTTCTAAAATATTAGGGTGTCATCAATTGCATGACCATCAAATTAAAAGGATTCAACTAATAAAAATAATTGAATTGATAAATATTTGATTCATAATTTATAAGCAATGTAGATTCAAATCTTATTAATGATATAAAATGTTGTTGGTAGATAATTTTTAAATGCTTTTTAAATTTGAAAGCATATATTTGATTTAATGGCTCTAATGAGTTTTCAAAATTCAACTCAATTCAGTAACTTATTTGTATTAAAAAATAAAAAATAAATAAAGGAATCTCATATTCCCAAGGGGAAAAAACAGAGCCTCACAAACAATCACTTACTGGTACCGGCTAACTCCCGTGCTGGTTTTAGTTGTATTCAGAAAATTTTAGATGGCGAAAAGTTAGGTATTTAGAGTCATATATTTAATATATTTATTTTCAATTAAATTAATTTATATTTAAAAATAAGTTGAAATTGATTATATAAGTTAGTTAAAGAGTAAGTAATGAGTTAAAAATATTTTATTTTGATTAATTGAAAAACATATGATATAAACAAGTTTACGTATCTAGTTTTTTTTTTTTTTAATAATGAAATGAAGAGTGAGTAGATAATGGCAGAATTATTTGACCAATCTTTTAAGGGGTTATCTTTCCCCAAACAGTATTTTTTTTCATATACACCTCTGATAATTAAATTCTGAAATGATATTTAAATGATCTAAGCATTACTGTCTATGTCACGTTCACTTAATACTAAACCCTAATTACACTACATCGCCTAATGTTGTCGAAAGGCTAATGCAATCCCTTCTATAAACTAATAATATAAAGCACCCAAAATCCAAATTAAATTATCTATGCACTTATGTTTTATATTTAATTTTATTTATCACATGTCACCTCCAGTATGTTTAATTAAAATTTAAAAAAAAATAAATCATATTAACTCTATTTTAGAATTTAATAAATTCAAACATCTACATCTAAGGATGGCACAAATAATTATTTTTAATAATTTTTTTATCATTCAATAAAAATAAAAAATAAAAGTAAACATAAAAAATAATGAAATGCTCTATAAATAAAATTAAAATTATTTTTTTTCTGTCAATCTTATAAAAAAAAAAACACAGTAATAATAAACAACAAGAGAGAGAGGGCGCACGACATGCAGCTTCACTATCACTCTATATACCTATATGGAGAGGGGGAGCTTTGGTATCACTCTAAGACACAAGCTCAATAACGACGATTGAACATGTAAAAATATACATAGCCCAGGTTATTAAAATTAAAATTAATTGAAGTCGGAATTTGTCAACTCATTTCTGTGGTCTTCGTTCGAAATATGGGCTTGAGATTTGGCTTAAAATTTTGTGGATGAGATGCATTTTGCACATGACTCGCTAATTATTAATTCGGAAGAACCTTTTTCTTAAGTGTTATATCAATTTTTTTATTATCCATTAATACTGCTATTATCAAATCGTCGACCATGATAACCTGTCGATTAATTTCTTTCAGAATTCAATCAGTCGTTGGGCCAAAAAAAATAATAATAATTTCAACTAGTCCAGATTTTGTGTTTCCTTCTCAAAGACAACCAGAAAAAGATTAATGAGACATATATTTGTTTCAAAGTGATCGCATCTGCATTGATTATCTTTTCATACAGAATCAATCGATTAACTAAAAAATATATACCCAGAAATTGTAAAACAAAAAATATAAGGTAATATATTGTTGTTTTTTTGCCAGCAAGGTAATTTATTGTTACTTAATTTTGGATGTGATATTTATATCTATAGTAGTTTAAGACAGGGCAAATGACAGTTCATTTCTAGAATATCAATCAATTTACTGCTGATTTTGCAATTGGTTTCTCCTAAAGATCAAAAAATTCTAGATAAATGCTCCATCGAGACCATAAAATAAAATATTTTTTAAAAAAGCATATTAATTAATTATATATTAAAATATTAAAAATATTTTATATTTTTTTAATATCTAAACTCTTAAAAAATATCGTATATTTTTTAACGAATAGGATATAAAATCTAGTGCATCACATAGTTTTTCTATTTATTTTTCAAGTCATATTCCAACTTTATTTATTACTTTTGTCTAAAAACGTGAGTTGCATCAATCCGACGAAAAAGCCAAAAAAAAAATTATTTAATTCTATTTATAAGTTATTTTTAACATATTTTATCAAGATTAATAAAATATTTATTTTAAATTAACTCTATTTAAAAAGTTAATAAGTTTAAAACCTTATCTTTATTAAATATATATACTTTTTTTCAATATTTAATGGAAGGTGAGATGAAAAATGCATTATAAAAATATAATAATGTGACTTACAAATGAAATGAAAATATCCTCTTCAAGCCTTATGAATATAATTGGAGGGAGTATAATTATTTTTTTAATTGTGCATATGTACCATTCTATTAAAAATATTGTTGGATACTAAATGTTTAGCATCTTTTTATTTTTATATTGAATGTTACATAGTAAGAGACTGATTCTTTTACTAAATCTAATTTCTATAGCAAATAATAGTTATTCTTTTTTGTGCACCAAAGTATAATTATTTTGAGTATCCGTATTTAAAAAAATATATTATGAGCTTGTTGTAAAATATGTTGAGGGAAGCCCGCCAACCTTTCAGGCACCAAACTGGACGGTGAAGAAATACAAATAATAAATTCAGGCCAGAGATGAGTAGCGGCAGATGCACGTGGGGGAAAAAAACAAAGTAGATATGTGTTGAGAAACATTATCTCATGCTAAAAAATCATTGCCTTTAATTTTATATTTTGTTTTTAAAAATATCTCATGCTATAACTATAAGTCTTCTTGTTCCTTTACAAGACATTCAAAAAAGATTTGTTGTCTTTTTTCATGAGGTGATCCCTCCGTTTTAAATTATAAAATATTTTTGAAAAAGTTTTAACATCTTAAAATATAAAATATTTTAATAAAAGTAAAAATTTTTAATAAAATTTTTTTAATAATATTCTTTTTATACATTCTTTCTCCTTAATGTTATTTCATCAATGGAGTATTAAATAAAAGATATTTTTAAAAGTTTATATTTTTATTTTAAAAAAGTAAGATTATAAAATATATTTAATAAACTTTATTAATATGTAAAAATTTATATAAAAATGTCTTATAATTTGAGACGAAAAAAATATTATATAAGATATTTATTTTATTACTGTTCGCATTCACTTGTTTCTCACACTTAAAAGGGTTCATTAAATTGATCTTGTTCATTTATTTTTCCACTTACAAGTCCTATTTACACAGCAAAATTTTTTTATCATATTTATTAATTATATCATTAAATTTTTATGATAAATTTTTTATTTCACCCCACGTTAAAAGTTGGAGAGAAAAAAATATAATTTTAATATATATATTTAATAAAAATAAATTTAAAAATTTATTAAATTTTAAATAAAATTAATACATTTTAATTTTTTTAATTTTAATAAAAGATATTAAAAATAATTTATAAATAAAATTAGATAAGTACTGCAGTTTGAATATAGTCGTGTCAAATGCGGCTTCATTATTGTTCACACTTCACGGGTCCCTACAAGCACGTGGGAATAAGTAGGAAATATATTCATTCACGATTTATCATGAACATATAAAATGGAACACTGGAAAAGTGTTATTAATTATGTTGCTTTTTTTCGGGACCGTGTCTTGTCGCCGCATGCAGTTTCTCTCCCGCTATCAAGTGGACCGTGCCTTTACCGATAAAAATTTGATCAACTTTACAGAATTGTAAAATCAAATGTCAGGGTCGATGTGGGCATGTCATTGATAGGCCATATATAAATACTTTTTAAAATTTAAAATTTGGAGATAAGCACCGGTGAACCCCATATCCAGCTTACATATACTTTTTGCAATAAAAAAAAAATTAGACAATACGTTTTTCTCTTTTATTATTTACGCATAACTTTCGTGTTTTTGTTATTTTTTTCCCCAGAAAAAGCTTTCGTGTTTTTGTTTGCCTGTGCAAGGATAAATAGGAATTGACTATCACCTACTTGGTTTCTCATTTCTTAATATTTTGTACCCTTGTCTTTATACGTATCTCTCTCTAGAATTGATAATTGCAGGATGCAATTTGTATTCTTTTATTTTTCATCAAAAATAGTGCTCCTTATTTTTTTGTTTTTTCGACGGAAAGAAACTAGCTTGAGATTCCTGAAGAGCCACACCCCCCTTTTTTCTTAAAAAAAAAAAACGAAGGGTCACAATTTCGCCAAAGTTTATTAATTCAATTGATTTCCGGGCGGATAAATGATTTACGAAGAAAAGGACTTTCCTTGTGATATCACCTTGCACGTCTATGTTTATTTGCACCCACGCGCCCACAATGTCTCGTAACAAGGCAGAAACATGTGTAGTATTTTGACGGAATTATGAAACTTCCAATGCCTCATATTAGTTTTAATTGTCAATTTAACTTTGTAAATTTAACTTTTATCAATCTAATTTTTTATATTTTTTAAATTATTATAATAATCCTTTGAGTTTTAAAATACAAATTAAGCCTTATATTAATATAATGTATAAAGTATGTTGGTGATTTGGCATGCAGATATAGTTACTCATTCCATTCAAAAATG